AGGAGATACCTCTTCTCTGTTTGCCACGGGATTATTCACTTGTCTCTCAGGCAATTCCACCCCACTTCTCGTTGTTATAGCCTTTGCATGCTCTTTCGGATTGACTTCTGTGTTACTTGGCAGGCTGCCTGGTGCTCTACCTGTTAATGCAACTGCCATCTGTCCCATCTGAGTTTCCAAATTCTTAATGGCTACATTATGGTCCTGAAGAGTGGCTTCTGTCTTCTTCATGAATTGGTTGTTCGCCTCCATATATTGGTTGGTCTATTCCATGAATTTGCCGAACATTTCTTCCAATTGAGGCTTCTTCTCTTGCTGTTGGTATTGCCCTTGTGGCCTGTTCTGATTTTGGTTGCTCCAAGAAAAGTTGAGGTGCTTTTTCCAGCTTGGGTTGAAGGTCTCTCCATACACATTATTCTGCTGGCGTTGTCCCCATTGAGCAAAATCTCCTTGCTCTTTTCCTTGTGTCAAAATTGGGCATTTTGCTGTCACATGCTCAGCTCTACATTCCTCACAATTTGCCTTCTTTGTCTGCGCTACATTAGCTGACTGGGTAATGTTTTCCACCTTGTGAAATAAGGAGTCAATCTTGGCAGATAACGCTGAATATACATCCACTTCATAAACTCCTGGTGTCTTCTTTGGTACTGCTCATTCCATGATCCACATTGTTGAGGTTGTAGCCATTGTCTCATATAACTTCAATGCTTCATCAATTGTTTTTGTGGACAATGACCCATTAGCTGAACAGTCGACCATGCTCTTGAAAGCTGGAAGTAGCCCTGCATAAAAATATTGGACCTGAAGTCTCTTGCTAATCCCGTGGTGCGGACACTTCCTTAGTAGATTTTTGAATCTGTTCCTAGCCTCATCAAAATTTTCAGATTCACCTTGCCTGAAGATAGATATGTCGAGCTTTAGCTTTGCAATCTTGGCCGGTGGGAAGAACTTAGTACAGAACTTCTGAGCTAGGTCATTCCAGGTAGTAATGCTGGCTATCGGCTGAGAATCAAGCCATTCAATCACCTTGTCCCGCAAAGTATGTGGAAACAGTCTTAATCTTATGGCGTCGTCAGAGATTCCTTGATATCTGAAGTGCTGGCACATCTCTAAGAAGCGTGAGACATGCGTGTGAGAGTTCTCTTCAACTCCTCCATAAAACTGATGTCCGTTCTAAAACAGTTGTATCACATTTGTCTTCAACTGGAAATTTGGCTGCTCGAACGATGGATACACAATGCTGGACTGGCTTTGAATAATTTGAGGGGTCATGAACTCTCCAACAAGCATGTTTCCTTCGTCTTCTTCCCCTCTTTCATTGGCTTGTATAACAGGATTGTGTTGTACGTTCTCCATCTGATTTCTCGCTGCTCTGTTTTCTCTCTGCCTTCTTCTGAAGCTTCGTTCGATCTCTGGGTCGGCTGGGAGTAGATCTCCTTCAGCAAATCTTGGCATGCACTTCTGCAATAGAATTCAATTTAAGGATTTAAGTTACTAAAATATGCAATTATGTAATAAAACTAACTAACAATAAAATAAAATGAACTAAAATAAATTAAAAATAAAAAGTTCAAATTAGTGCTAAATTGAATAAAATTAAACGAATACTCAATCCCTAACAACGACGCCAAAAACTTGTTCACAAAATAATTCTTTCGATTTAAAATTATCGCAAGTGTACGGTTCGTAACAAGTAATAAAGTGGATTTTTAAAAATCCGAATATCGTCCCTCAGAGATTGAGTAGTTCAATTCTATATAATCTAGCCTTAACCGAATCTAATTGAGTGAAAATATAGTCTAAATGTAAAAAACCCTAATTTCAATTAAAAACCCCTAATTTCAACTAAAAACCCTAATTTCAATTGAAAACCCTAATTTCGAAATTGCTCTAATTAAACAACTTAAACACTCAAGTAAATGAAATTAAGCAAGTTTAAAAGCTAATTTATTAAAATGAATCAAACTAAAGTCACTAGGATCACGAATCCCCAATTGAAGTTATAAAAACTCTAATTTCATAAAATTAATGATTCGATGAAAATTTGCCAATTCAATGTTCCTAATTCTATCCAATATATTCTCTCGATATATATTAGACCTATTCTTGCACACCACCAGCCTATATCTCTATGGATGATGCAAACATACAATAATGCATGTATTTTTGTGAACAATTTAAGAATTGCATAAAGTATAGGGGTATATCTCTATCCTCTATCGGACCCTATGTTAATTTACACCTTATCGAACCTATTCCACTTCTCTCGATTGCAAGAAATAAGTCATCAACACTCACATAATCATTGGCCACTAATTGCGGAAGAAAATTAATGCATGTAAATCAATCAAATTATCCAACGAGTCTTTATATTAAATTCATGAAATATAGAATTAAAATAACAAACAACGGTTCATCGATCACCTAGTAATTGAAAACTTAGCCTAGAAGAATTACAGGAAAAAAACGAAATTAATAAATAGAAAGAATAACACCCGTATGAAAGTTCTTAAAATCTAAAATCTTGAATAAAACCTTGAAAACCCCTTTGAATCCTTGTGAAATCGGCTTCAAGTTCGTGTTCCTTGCCTCCAAAAGTTGTATTCTTCTTCTCCCTGGACATTCTACCCTATTTCTGATGAATTTTGGCTTTTATATCATGTCCTCACGGAGTCCCGAAAGAGTTTCAATTAAAAACGGAAGTTCAGATTTTTTTTCGAAATTAAGGCCATGCGGCCACATGGTGTTAAACCATGCGACCGCATGGTTCAATTTTTTTTGCTCAATTAAAACCCTGCAACACCATGTGCGGCCGCATGGTATAGTTACATGCGGCCGCAATGTTGTAAAGTTACAACCTGTCATTTTGGTCCCTGAACTCCATTTTCTCTTTTCTTGATCTCTTTTCTTTCATTCCTTTGTTTCATTATCACATATTGACTCCTAATTGATGTTTGGGTCAATCAATTCCTTGATCATTTGCTCGGCTCATCTCTTTGATTAATTGCAATTTAGTCCTTCATCTTTCACTTTTCTTCAATTCAGTCCAATGTTACTTCTTTCTTCCTCCAATCGTCTTTTATCGTCCTCAATCTCACACTTGGTATATTTTCATTCTAATTCTGCACTTTAGCTCAACTTTTCAATATTTGCACCTTTGGTCCCCGAACTATCGCTTTGTTCCGTTTTGGTCCTTTTTCGGCTTTTTCTTCTGAATTTCATCTTTTCCATAGAAACACCTACATTGCATGAATTTAACAAGATTAAGTCACAATTCAACTATTTTGTCCATGTTTAAGTCATGTTTGTAAGCTAAATAAGTGTGTAAAAACACACTTATCAAGAACAAAATTGTTATTTTCTATAACTTGGCACCCACAAATTGAGGTAGTCAATAGGACTATGATTCAATTCTTACGTACAATGATCAATAAGAACTTGAAAAATTGGGAGGAGTGTTTACCTCTCATTGAATTTGCTTATAATCGTGCTATTCATTCTACTACTTCATTTTTCATCTTTTGAAGTTGTTTATGGTTTTAATCCACTAACCCCTTTGGATTTAATTCTATTACCTATGAATGAGCGTAGAAGTCTAGATGGTAAAAGAAAAGCAGAGTTGGTAAAATCACACCATGAAAAGGTTAAGTTGTAGATTGAAAACAAAAGCAAGCTTGTTGCATCGTAGGTGAACAAAGGCAAGAAAAGGGTAACGTTCAAACCCGGAGATTGGATTTAGGTGCATTTCAGAAAGGAACGCTTTCCAAAGCAAAGTCAAAATTTTAACCACGGGGAGACAGTCCATTTCAAGTCATTGTGAAGATCAACAACAATGCTTACAAGCTAGACCTTCTAGGTGAATATAATGTTTTAGTAACTTTTAATGTATCTGATCTCTCTCTCTTTGATGTAGGTACATATTTGAGGACGAATCCTTTTGAAGAGGGAGGGAATGATGTGATCCAAAAGTTAAGCTCGAAGATGGCTAGTTCGAAACGAGGCCCGTTGATAATTGAAGGCAGTCCGATAACGCGATCGAAGGCAAAGCGAGTAAAACAAGCAATGAGTTTGTTCATTCAAGCAATTATTGATGGGATGATGTTCTGGACGCAAAACAAGGCAACTTCCATGTTGGGTTCGAGAGCCGAAATGATTTGGATCAACGTGATACAAGTGGACGAAGAAAGGGCCGAGACAAGTAACTATGCAACCTAATAGTTACTCCATGAATGCAATTGCATGCAGCCAAGCAGGTTTTTGGGCAAGGTCGCATAAACCTTCTATGCGACTGCAATACTTTCTTCTATGCCGTCGCATAAAAGGAAATCCTAGCAGAAATTCTTGGGGCTCACGAGTTTCCTTATTTGACTAGACTTTTATTTTATTTGATACTTGTAATCTTTTAAGAGTTTTAATTCCGTTTTTAAGCTAGGTTAAGAGTTTTATTCTAGATTTTCTACGTATAAATAGATTTATTTCCATTGTAAAACATGACCTTACATTGTTTTAAGAATTTCTATGAAAGAGGCAATTTTCTTCATATCGTTCTTCATTCAACAATTGGAACTTATCAAGAATTGTAGACTTGTAGCGTTCCACAATTCGGGTGCGGATCTTAATCGTGTAATCGAGGGGTGTTTCAAACTTCGGTCTTGTTGGATTTTTTGGTTCATTGATTCGGGTTCAAACTCTAAAACCTTTTAATTGGCTTTTCTGAGATTGTAACAATCTAGTTCTGGATTTCGTAGTCAATATTGTTACGGGGTTCGCATCATCAAGCCTTGACACGAACAAGTATCTCAAGCCTTAAATCAATCAATACATTTAATTGACAATTTTCAATTGCATAGAACTTTTTTTCACACAAATTTTATGCTCGCAATCAAACACATAATATCCTCAAAGAATTTGAAGTCAAAATTAAAAGTTAGGGACAGAAATGTATGAAGAACAAAGATTAGACACTATTTGTGCCAAAATTTCATTGCGGCATAAAACTTCTCTAGGTCCTCTTGCACGGGAGTGGTGAGTACACGTAAAAAGGAGAGCCGTAGCGAGGAGAGCGTGATGGCTGCAGAAGCAACGTATCGGAGGCCCGAGATCCGGAAAGACGCTATCCACAACCGGTGGATCATATTCTCACCGGCGAGAGCACGGCGACCTTCGGACTTCAAGTCCAATTCAGACCTAAATCCGAACTCCAACAACCGATCTGAGTGCCCCTTCTGCGTGGGCCACGAGCACGAGTGTGCGCCGGAGATTTTCCGGGTCCCGCCCGATTCCACGTCCGACTGGCAAATCAGAGTCATCCAGAACCTCTACCCTGCTCTCAACCGTGAACTCAATTTTCCAAATTGCCCTTCCGAGTCCGGTCAATGTAGCGGCGACGTGGCTGTGATTGGGTTCGGGTTTCACGACGTTGTGATCGAGTCGCCAGTTCACCCTGTTCACTTGGCCGATCTTTCTCCGGCTCAGGTAGGCGATGTCTTGCTCGCTTACAAGACCAGAATTGACCAGCTTCGCACTTTGGATTCCATCAAATATGTTCAGGTTTTTTCCCCTATATTTTCCACTTGCTGTAGAGAAATAGCCTCTAACATTTTTAGGTGAGGCGATTTGTTTTGTTGAATTACTCATATGTATAGGTGTTCAAAAATCATGGTTCATCAGCTGGTGCATCGATGAGTCATTCACACAGTCAGATAATGGCACTTCCTGTTGTTCCTTCCGCGGTGTCTTCACGCATTGAAAGCATGAAGGAATTCTTTGAGCAGACAGGAAAATGTAGCCTCTGCCAAGTCCGGACGGACCATTTATTGATTGATGAATCCACCCATTTCCTGTCGATTGTTCCATTTGCTGCAACTTTCCCTTTTGAGATATGGGCTATTCCTCGATATCACTCTTCTCATTTTCATGAGCTAGATAGCGACAAGGTATTTGCGGATTCTTTTCCGACCATTGAGTTTTGCCATATTTGTGATGGCTCTATTATTATCATGAAGAAGTGAGATAGACATTGAAAGGTTTTCATTTTGTCAATGATGAAGCTTATTTGTTTCTAAAGACGGATATAGTTTATGTTCGGCTAAGCCTAATAATTTTCTTATAAGCAAACTAAGTTTTAGAGTTAATAAATTATTTGTTGGACAAAGTTGAAATACATAGTTTATTTTGAGAATCTGTAACTTATTTTGAAAGTAATTCGTAACTATCAAAATTAGTTAAAAATTCTTACATGCTTGAAAACAATGCGACATACTTAGATATATTTATTTAGTGGACACCTGAGCTTGCAATATCTAACTGTTTCTGTTTTCTTTCAAATAAATAACTTGCTGTACTTTTGACTTTCAAATAATACAGGCAGTGGATCTTGGAGGATTACTAAAACTTATGCTTGTGAAGATGTCTTCACAGTTGAACAACCCGCCTTTCAATTTAATGATTCACACTGCTCCACTTCAGATCAATCCCTCACAATTACCTTCCACTCACTGGTTTTTACAGATAGTGCCCCAGTTAAGTGGTGTGGGGGGATTTGAGATGGGGACAGGGTGTTACATAAATCCTGTTTTCCCGGAGGATGCTGCGAAAGTTTTGAGAGAAGTAAGTGTTCCAAATAATGGATGAAAGTTTACAAGCACATTTTTTTGGTTTAGCGCATATAATTATGAAAAATAGTTTTATAACATGTGTGGGAATATTTTTTTTTTTTTTAATTTGTTATATCAGTGTAAGTACATGTGGATAGTTTAAGATATTCTGTATTCACCTTGTTTATGGTGTTATACCATTGTATTATATTCTGGAATTGACTGTGAGAAGCGATACTACTATTAAACATAGCATCGCATATTGTGTTTTAGTGGTTGTATATAGATAAACCCATAGAATTTTGGGTTCATTTCCCAAAGGGTCACTGAAGTTTAAAACTTATAGTAACGGTCACTTAAGTTTCGGGCGCTTTCAGAAACGATCACTTGAGTTTACAAACTTGCGGAAACGGTCATTGAAGTTACATGCACTTTTTCAATTTTTTGGACAACTTTTCGGCCGCTTTCTACCAGCAATATTGTCGAATTTTGATACCGTTGGAAAACTCACAATGTCCTCTTCAATTACAATCCAAAATCTCCTCGTAATTCCAAGGGATTCGACGGGAAAATTGCCGCAAAAGTCATCCAAAAAAATTGAAAATCTTGGCATTTTTTTTTATTTTTTTGGGTGAATTTTGCAGCGATTTTCTGGCACCTTCTGACCACCAAGACCGCAGGATTTTGATACCATTGGAAAGTCCACAATGTCATCTTCAATTACCATCCAAAATCTCGCCCAAACTCCAAATGATTCGGCTAAAATAAATCCACAAATTTGGCTATCCAAAAAGGAGAAAATTTGTCCAGATTTGGGATGCTGACTTTATGGGTTTATTCCGGTCGAATCCTTTGGAGTTATGGGGAGATTTTGGATAGTAATTGAAGAGGAGATTATAAACTTTCCAACAGTATTAAAATCCGACGGTCTTGGTGGTCGGAAGTTGCCCCAAAAGTCGCTCAAAAAATAGAAAAATCTGCCCAAATTTTCGTCTTTTCGGGTAGTCAACTTTGTGGATTTATTCCGGTCGAATCCTTTAGATTTTGGGGAAGATTTTTGTGGTAAATGAAGAGGACATTGTAGGCTTTCCAACGATATCAAAATCTGACGATATTGGTGGTTAGAAGTTTTCGGAAAGTTGCCTCAAAAGTAATCGAAAAAATCTGCCCAAATTTTATCCTTTTTGATAGCCAACTTTGTGGGTTTATTCCAGTTGAGTCTCTTGGAGTTACAAGGGATTTTTTGTGGTAATTGAAGAGGATATTGTGGGCTTTCCAACTATGTCAAAATTCGGCGGTATCGATGGTCAAAAGTTGCTGCAAAAGTCGTCCAAAAAATTAAAAAAGTACATGTAACTTCAGTGATTGTTTCTGCAAGTTTTTAAATTTAAGTGACCATTAGTATAACCGCCCGAAACTTAAGTGGCCAATACTGAAAGTTTTATAAACTTCAATGATCGTTTTGTAATTTTCACGTAATTTCAGTGATCGTTTGCGAAATTAACCCATAGAATTTTATATGTGCTAAAGTGCGGAAGTGGAATTAGAATTCGTAAAACAAGAATAAAGTTGAAAAATTAGAAATTTTTTTAGGGAATAATTTTATTATATCAAATTGATTGAAATTAATAATTGAGTAGTGTACAACATAGTTATTAGGTCAACTCATTGGGTCAGCGGGTCGTGTTTCACATGGTGGGTCATTTCTAGATTGTAATTTTAATTATAAAATGCTTTTTAAAACAAAAGACAACAATTTTTTTTTAAATATAAAATATATATGTATTAGTTCACTATTATGACACAAGTTTAGTTGTTGTTATAATGGTTATAGATGTAATATTTCACTACAAATGCCTAGGTTTGAATATCTGCCTCTGCATATTGAAGAAAAGATTTTACCCTTGATTTTGTAACAAACCGGTTCACCCTTGAATCGATTTCGATTTCGATTTCTTCTGAATTTCGATTGTGCATTGAGCAATTCAATCAATTTTTGACTAGCTCGCTTGCTCAGCGTGCCAATTAGAGCAATGGATTAGACCACTATCCAATTTGACAGTTCTTGGGTTGATTGGTCGATCTGATTTTAATGACTATGGTGTACAAAGCCTTTATTTGTATAGGCGAAATAATTTTCTAATCTTACTAATACAAGGAAACTAAATCAAAATCCTAAAAAAGAAAGAAAATGAAAATTCTAATATAAAAGAAATAAAAATATTAAGTGCTATGATGCGGAAGCAGAATGGGAATTCTAAACAAGATCGAAGTTGAAAAATAAGAAATTTTTTTCGAGAATGATTTTATTATATTGAATTGATTGAAATTAATAACTGAATAGTGTACAAAGTCTTTATTTTTATAGGCAAAATAATTTTATAATCTTACTATTATAAGGACGCTAAACTAAAACCCTAAAAAGGAAAAAATGAAAATTCTAATATAAAAGAAATAAGAAATCTTATTCTAAATAAGAAAGAAAAATAAATTTTATTTTAAATAAGAAATAAGAAGCAAAAGAGATAAAATTAATTATATTTGGAATATGATTGTCCTACACCACTCTTTTACTTGAAAAACCCATCCTCGAGCGTGGTTGAAGAAAGAAAATCAATCAATTGAAAGGAAATGCTCAAAAATTTCTGCCACATCACATGTTGAACAAATGTACATCTCTTTGTTCTCCTTAATCACATTGAATGAAATCAATCTTGTTCATTCTTGCATATTTTTTCTCATGGACACTTTCTACGTGACATTCATTAATAAACGAAGTAATGTTCAATTTCTCATCCTTAAATCCATTCTCGATGGAGGTCATTGGTGCTATTTCAATCTACAATACAGAAGAACAAGTAGGGGACTGAAATCCACATTGTCCATATTTTCCTTATGCTTATGCAATTCGTTGGCATTGGAATCGAAGAGAACATCAACAAAACTTTTTTTCTTAATTTGATAAATCTCACCTTTGGTTCCTTCGTGATTGGTCCATTTTCTTCCATTGGACACTTCTTAACTTTAAGTTATTCATCATCAAAGTGCGGCTCGATCTTAGGGCATTCAATTGTAATTTCATCAGAATATTTTTCATCTTACTCCTATTTTCATTGTCAATTTTCATGTATAAGGGATCATGTATCGGGTTTTTAATTTGTACATGCTTTTCTACCTCTATCTCTATTGTAGTATCATGATCGGTAACAACCTCCTACTCATCTTACAGCTTTTGTATTCTTTGTTTACACTGGTATTTCACAAATAGCTTATAAGATGAAAACAGAACAATCTTTTTATAATATCACCAAAACACATAGTTGTTATCTTGGCCTATGTATGAGCATCTACATCATGTACCATAGTTGTCCCAAAAAGACATGACAGTAATCCATCTCTTTATCGCTTTACACGCAATGTCATCATTGTAGTACTTTCCAATAGAATTTAAAATTTTGCATAACTCCATAATTTGAATTTTTCGCCCTTTTTAACATGTGGAACTTAATAGCAAGATGGGTTTTTTGGGCCATTTAATTAAAAGCTCTCATCAATGCTTTGGATACAATGTTCTCACTATTCTTGTGATCTATTATCATACTGCATATTTTGTTGTCGTATTCTTGACTTGTTGAAGCAACTAATATTCATTGTAGTCAAGTTTTACAAATTTTTGTTAGCAGCACCTTCGAATATATCCATCATTCATTTCATATTCGATTGAGGTTGGTAATTTTACAATCCTTCAATTGTCGTTGTGAGGATGCATGCTTCTACAACCATAGGTGGCCAATCAAACAAAGGGAAAACCTTACTCTGATACTAATATTGGTGTTTGACAACATTTCTAAAACACGATGCACTATCAACAACAAAGTGTGCAACTTGATAATTGATCATTATGTAGGACAGACCCATTTCAAATAGGATTTATTTTAGTCATTTTCTTCTTATTTCTTATTTATAATAATATTTTCTTTTTTCTTTTTTATTTAGAATATGATTTCTTCTTATTTCTTGATTAGAATATGATTTTTTTTTTATATTAGGATTTTAGTTTATTTGCTTTTAGGATTTTAATTTAAATTCCTTATATTTGTAAGATTAAGGATTGCCTATATAAACTAAGGCTTTATATAATTTTCATCGTCAATTTCAATCAATTCAATACAATAAAATTATTCTCTACAATTTTTCATGTTTTTCGTCATCACTCTTGTTTTCATGTCAATTTACCTGTATAAGGGATCAATAAGTATCGGGTTTTCACTTGCACATACTTTTCTACAGCAATTATAGTATCAATGTCGGTACCATACAATCATCTTGAATTTATTGAAATCAATGATTGAAGAGTGTACAAAAGCCTTATATAGGTAAAATCACAGCCTAAAATAAAGAAGAAATCTTATTCTAATCAAGAAATAAAAAAAGAAATCATTTTTTAAATAAGGATAAAATCATCCCTCTTTATCTTAAAAAAAAAAAAGAATCTGAGATTTACTGTTCATTTTTGTCACATAGACTTTCGAAACTGGTTTGAAATTAATTTGGCAACAGTAAAATATTATATCCAATCATACTCTAACATTATTTTCACACGCCATCACAGTATTTTCACACGTCGTTTCACTGATTTTTCCATTTTCACACACTACTTCACTTTTATTTGATTAAAGGAAGTAATATATTATATAATAAAAGAGATCGCAGAAAAAAAAGAAATAACTTATTATAAAGTTATTAAATTATAAATGAAAATGATTTAAAAAATATTTAATTCAAATTGAACGAATGTCGTTCCATGAAGAATGTATAAAAATTATTTTATTAAATTAAATGAAACAAAAAAAAGAAAGGAAAGTTACCAAAATTAAATAAATAATATATAAATATTATTTTATTAACAACTAAAATAAATGAAAGTTACAAAAATTAAATATATTATTTTTCGCAGAAAAATAGAAATAATTTATTATAAAGATATTAAATTATAAATGAAAATGATTTAAAAATATTTAATTCAAATTGAACGAATGTCGTACTATCATGAAGAATATATAAAGATTATTTTATTAAATTAAATAAAACAAATAAAATAAAGGAAAGTTATAAAAATTAAATATATTATTTTTATTAATTAAAATTGAAAAAAATTAAATTTTTTATACCAACAAAATTATCCCACCATAAAAAATAAAAATAAAAAACTCTCCATAGACGAAGAGAATCTCTCATTTGAAAAAGA